TTTAAGGTATTTTTGATCTCCAGTTTTGCCATGTCACATGGAAAACATCTGTGAGATAGTTTCTTCGATGCAGAATTTCATTCTCTATCGAACGAAGCTACTTTCATTATCTTTATGTTTGAAGATTTGTTAAAAAATCCTACATTCTTGTTAATTATCGATCACCGTGAAAATTCTTTGAAGTATTTTTGATCCCGTGTTTAGTCATGTCACATGCCAAAATTACATTTTTTTCGATTTAGAACTTCATTGTCTATCGAACGAACCTGTTTTGAATGTCTTTTATGTTTGAAGAAGTGTTGAAAAAAGCTTTAAATTTTGTTAAGTATCGGTCATTCTCAAGACGCTTTAAAGTATTTTTGATCTGTTGTTTAGTCATGTCACATGGAAAAGATCTGTGAGATAGTTTTTTCGATGCAGAATTTCATTGTCTATCGAACGAAGCTATTTTCAATATCTTTTATCTTTTATACAAAGCAAGCGCAGAGTAATTCCAGTAAGTAAGAGAGGACATATGAAGCGTTTCTATTTTATTAACAATCAAAGTTTTTCTAAACTTCAAAACACCGTTAGCACAATTTCTATGACGAGTAGAAAAGTATTAGCGAAAGCGAGAGCGTGTGTACAAATGGAACTGCTGTGTACCAATTTTGTGCAACCTCGAACGAGTCTGAGGTGAATGGTCCACTTTGATTACATTATGTTCCCGAAGAGAAAACCGGGTAAAACATGATGGAATCAGTGTCTTTAAGAAACACTTTGCTATCAGGAAATTCCTTCATATCAAAAGGTTTTGTTTTCATTCTTTTATTTTGTAGTCTATGAGATGAACTTGATCTCTGAAAATAAAAGATTTCTGCATAAAAACAGCCGATCTTTGAAGTATGATTGGGTCAGAATTAATATATATATACGTGTCTACCGATCTTTGATCAGCATACCAACTAAACTAATATCACGTGTTTCACTTTCTTCAAACGAAACAGCGTATAGAATTTTTCAAGGAACTTTTATTTTTTTATTAGGCTGAATTAAACATTACATCAATTGAGACCCAATAAATTAAAAAGTACTAATCGTTTCATAAGTACGAGTGTTATACATATGTTGGCCTCATTCTTAGTTTTCATGTACAAGATGTTCTTTTGGAAATAACTGCATGGACAGTCGACACATAGATTAATTTTAATTACTGGTAAATTTTAATGTAATACAGTATGGATGTCCCTATTGCGAAAAACGAACTTCAGAGGTACCGATGTACAAATATATTAAAATGATCAGATATTTAGATATTCAGATGTAAAGACGTACAGATGTATCGGAATTAAGATATTCAGATATTTAAATATTCAAATATTTGGATATTCAGAGACTGAGACCTTCAGGGGTAGAGATGTATATATATGAAGATGTTTAGATATTCAGTTCTTCAGATGGACAGCAGTATAGATGTATAGATATTAAGACATTCACATATTTACACATTCAGTTATTCATATAGAAACTGAGATGTTCAGATATTTATACCATCAGATACTTGGACGTTGATATATTCAGATATTCAGATATTCAGATACACTGATGTATAGATCTTTAGATGTTCCGACATTTAGATCTTCTGATGTACAGACGTCCACATATTTAGATATTCAGATGTGCAGATATTGAGATATACATATATTCAACTGTATAACCTTCCCAGTGCTTAAAAGCCCTCTCGTCACTGAGAAAACATCAAAACCCAAACAAGGCTTTTCGAAAAATGAACGAAGAGGTCGTTTTTCAGACCTTCTGAGTGTTTTGACGTTTTCTCAATGACGAGAGGACTTTTGAGCACTGATAAGGTTATATTCGTGATCAGCTCGATGCGCTTAACAAGAATATGTCTAATAAAGTCAAAAAACAATTGGTGTGCAAGTTTGCTTTAAGTGCATCTTATGTCGTGACATCGCACTGAGGGTGGAGAATCCGGATCCAAAAGTATGGATACGCAGACGAGATTTTTGTGCCTTACAACATAACTCGTTAATCACTATATGATATAACTAATGTGTTATTTTGAGTTCTAGAGTGTTTTATGACTTTATTTTATCATTTCTTCATTAAAATATCAATATAAAGTGCAGCTAATTCAAAAGTCCAGTGAAACTTCTTTTAGACTTTATTATACATATTTTGATTTGTCAGGTTGAGCTGATCACGAGTATCACCTTTTTATTTCGATCTGACCTCATCCTCGTTGAGAAAAATCCAAAACACTGAGTAGAGGTCAAAAATCGAAAAAACCAACCTCTTTCTTAAAAATGATTTTATGAAGTCATCTTTCGAGATAAAAATGTCCAACTATATTATTCTGTATCGGCGTGAAAAACTGATCTAGAAAAGAGTGTTTTGGTCATCCCCGAGGTAAACACTAGTCGACCATGGATGTCCAAATCACGACATGTCAAAATGGAGTCGTCCGCTTTGTAAGCATATGTAGTTTTTTAGGTTAGGGCATAGTCTCTTGAATCATAAACCAAAAGAATCGCCGTCTCCCGCACTACAAGGTTACATGTTTAGATTTTTCAAATTCATCTTTGTTAAGCGAGGATGAGGTCAAATCGAAATAAAAAGGTGATACTCGTGATCATCCTGACAAATCAGAATATGTATAATAAAGTCTAAAAAGAGTTTCACTGGACTTTTGAATTAGCTGCACCTTACACGATCTTCAATACTGTTATAGACAGACAAGTAATAAAAAACGTTTGCGTTCCTCTGTGTGTTAACTCTAACTGCTCGTCAATGAAGAAATCTGCGACAAAGAGACGAAGAAATCGAGAAACAGTAGAACATAAACAATGACGGCTGTTTCCGTGAATTTGTCGATTTCTTTTCTCTGGTATTTCCCAAGTTTCGTGGTCCGCTCGATCTCATAGCACACATGATTACTGGAATCCAAACTAGAAAATTAACAGATTTAACTATTAACAACATACTACCAATGGAACTGCTGTTCTTTCTTGCAGTAAGAACTTGTTGAACTAACCAAAAGGAAGCGCCCGAAAGCTTGTAACAACACCAAAATATACTGGATTACACAGTTTTGAAAACCCTATTGCAGTTTTGTGCGATCCTTCGAACGAAATGTTGTTCTAAAAAGGTCGAACAAAAAAACTGGTCACTTTTCGGGTTTTTTGAGCTTAAGTCATGGAAAAACTTGACTTTCTCCAAAGCAAAATGACTTATAAGGTTTAGAAGTTTCGTCACTCCAGTTTTTCGTACTGAATCGACTGATGTACTATTGTTGTTGAGGCGCTTCCACACAGCTCCGCCCACTTTATACTTTTTCGAAAGTCGCCAAGAAACAACGTACTAGGTCTTGTAGAGCTCGCCGAGTTGCGTATATCTATCATGTTTGTTTTTAAAAAGGTTGTGTGGAACATGGTTTTTGGCGACCATGAAAAGTCGAAAAAATGACGAATCTGCCCAAAATCAAGCTCGTATTTCGCCATTTTCTCCATCAGCATTAGGAATTGGGAATGTGCCTCATTTACCTCTTGCCTTGCAAGCAGAGATGCGCGATTACAATTACACAATGTAAAGTTCAAACACAGATATTATTCTAGCTATTATTAAGAGACGTTCCATGAACGCTGCTTGACGTGCCCCTTGTTCTATGAGTGTCACTAGAGTGCCCTTACGCAGACCCGTCAATCGCGAAAATAGATTTTGCTAACAGTTACATCATTCGATTCAACGACGAATCTGCCCAAAACTAAGCTCGTATTTCGCCATTTTCTCCATCATAATTCAATGTTTTGACAACAGCAAGGTCATATTCGCAATCAGCATTGAAAATTGACTCGAAAGATATATATTTCAAAGATTTTCTACACAAAAAATGTTTTTCGAAATATTTTGCCTCGAAATCAAGTGGAAAATTTCGAAAAACATTTTTTGCGTAGAATATATATCGTTTGATTCAATTTTCAATGCTGATTCCGAATATGACCTTGATTTTGGCACCATTTTGATTTCCAGTTGCATCAATTTTGTCATTTTTAAAGAATGTTTCAGGTGCAGAATTATTTTCTCTATTGAAATATCAAAACTTTATTATAGGTTTGTTTGGTTGCTTAAAATATTCAGATTTTTCCAGAAGAGCCTCATTTTTTCACAACCTCAAAATTTCAGTAAATATTTTTTTGCGACAACTATTATAACTTTAAAATATTTTTAAATATCAAATTTTCTTCAGTTTTGTGTGCTCTTTCGAACGAAATGTTGTTCAAAAAAGGTCGAAAAAACTGACGGTTTTATACATAAAAGCTAAAATTGATCACTTTTCGGATGTTTTGAGGTTAGGTCTTGGGAAAACTTGGGAAGACTTTCTCCAAAGCAAAATGACTTATAAGGTTTAAAAGTTTCATCACCCTGGTTTTTCATGCTGAATCGCGACTGATTTATTATTATTGTTGAGGCGCTTCAACACACAGCTCCGCCCACTTTATACTTTTTCGAAAGCCGCCAAGAAATAACCCCAGATTTTGTAGAGCATGAGCATATTATGTAACTATTTGTAGAAAAGATGAATTACGAGTAATGTATTGAGAGAATAAGTATTTTACTTTTTCATTCCCTAGGCGCCGCAGCTAGTTGTTATGACGAGCACTGTTAAGATCATTTTCCCTCAAAATCGAGCTCTACTTGGTCTTAAATTAAAGCTGAAACTTACGTTATAGGACTTGATTTTTCATTCAAAGCTTTGTTTCAAAATTCAGGAAAAAATTGTTCATAAAGTCTATTAGAGCGATAATGAATGCAAAATAAAGCCCAGCTACACGACTACCTCACCAGAGACATTTACATTACATTACATTGGTCTGCATGTGCGTAGTATGAAAGATAGTTTAACCTCATACAGCACAATGAGTTTTGCGAGCTAATATTTCATGACAACGGAAAAGAAAATATTACTTAATGTAAAAGCAAATACCGCTTTTGTTCTATTATTAATCACACCAAAGCCATAAGTGAAAATTATTGTTATCGAAAATAAAATTATTCAATATTTTAGATCCAAATTGAAAGAAAGATTTCGAACTAAATGCTTCTAAATCAGACCATATATCTAAATAGTTCAAACGTGGACATTTTTGAAACAATATTGGCAATAATGCATAAATGTGGTTAATTGATTCAATATGCACCGTTAAATGTTCAATATTCGGAAAAACTAGACGCAATTGTTCAACACCTTGCACCGCCAAAACACCTTCTTCAAAACCTAATTTATGAATTTTAGGATAGCATTTTGTAATTTTGAACAAATCGTTCTCATCCGGCAGATAAAGGGAGACAATGTTCGTCGCGTACTCTAGTACAAGGTCTAGTAAATCCAATCGATAAAAGTAGGATAAATGTGTCAGTTTAGCCCATATAATTAGCTGATTAAGATTAACAATCGCCAAATTATTTGCTGACGAAGAACAGTTCCGCTCGACGACTTCAGCACTTAAAAGCGTCAATGTCTGCACATTTTGAAATAGTTGAACAGTTGAAGTCCAATAGTTGTCGCCTATAAGTTAAACAAAACAATGATTCTATGTGTATTATGCTAAGTTTAATATAGCATCACTGCAAGCTGCTACAAATTAGTACCAAAGAAGATGTAGTAACTACGCCGGATACTGTGATCTTACAGTTGGACTTCATACTATGCTATAACGAGGAAATCGTTGGCTGATTTTGTCACACAATTCATCGATCAGGCTGCTAAAACTTTTACAGATTACGTCATAGTGGTTCCTTATTATTGCTGTTTAGAAAAGTTGACCAAGAAATCGAAGAATGAACTTAAATTCAGGAAAACTATTCACATTTTTGAAGAAATTTGTCGCATTCTGTGCCATTCTTCTCACTAGATATTGTCACAGCCCAAACCTTTCTATTGACACAGCAGAAACTAGCAGCTTTTTTATAGTAAAACTTAGATCAAGACCATCGATTTCTGTACTGTATTGGCAATAACTCCGTTTAGATCGAGTGCCATCTGATCAGCGTTCTATAGACACCAGCCTGTAAGCATAAATCCCTCGCAAAAAAGAATATGTCTTGGTCCGCAGGAGTGCTATTCTGAAATCAAATTTGTAAACCTGTCTCTCCCGCTTAGGTACACTAAAAAATCATAACTATTGCATTAACAGGTATTGTTACATAAAAATTAAAAGCCTTGCTGTATTCTTACCAATAGTATTTATTAAATGTTTAACATCCAACATCGTTTCACTCATCGTTATCTTTAAGTCGTTCACTTTATCATAGATGCCATTCACCTGAGGCATTTTCGACTGGAATTTCTTCATTTCTGTATCATAACACTTTGACTTGTATGGAGCAGAATAAAACCTGAAATATTTCTCCATAGGACAAAAATCGAATACAAAATACCATTGATGCTCTAACCAATACTGTGTTTGAAACGTTGTAAAAATACCAATAATGTTATCGAGAAATGATTTTGGCAAAACTCGGTATCCTACATCAATCTGAAATTTTTTTAAATTAGGTAGATAGTTTGACAAGATGTATTCCCAACGTCTACCATCAATATATTCTAGATTCGACGCTGAAAATGATAAATATTCAAGGCATCCTAAATTTAATAATAAACTTTCGATTAAATCAAACTCAATGTGTGATACTTTTATTTTCAAGTATCTCAATTTTGACTGAAATGGATTAGAGGGCAAGATCATGTCGATGGTCAAAATATCTCTACAAACATAAACATTCAAATATTCGACCGATGATATATGAAACAATTGGATCAAATCGTTGTACGAATGAAAATAAATTGTTAGATATTTGATGTTTGTTACACACGATGATGATGACGCCGACAATCGACAATATGGTAAATGACATCTGATTAATTTTGGTAATCTAAATATTACTTGATGAATGCAAACCTCTAATTTTTCCAACGTATTCGAATGATCAAAAATCGCTAAATGTTGCATGTTCGACAAAGTTGATAACTTTGGTAAGATGTATTTTTCCATCTCATTTAATCGAATTGTATTCAATGTTAGTGATTGAAGTAGCGTAAACTGCTCAAAATCGAAGTAACTAGTAAAGAGTTTTACTTGTATATCATGTAATTTAAGAGAAATAACCTTTTTAAAAAATGAAAGAATTGTGACACAACAATAATCGAAAACATTTTTCTTTTTAATGGGAATAAAATTAACATGTATTTGGCTATTCTGAAGTATTCTGTTTATTCTCACGTTCAAATTAATAAAAGCCTGATAAACATCATAACCGTCTAAGTACTCAAATATTTCCAAAAGCAATTCATTAGATAACGCTAAAACAAGAGAAAAATGTTATTAACCTTCGCAACCATCAAAGTTCAACCTACTGTTAATAATTAATAAGCACGTTACCTTCAAACACGACGACATTCATCTTCCCAGTATTATGAACAAATAGACATTGAACTGTACCTTTTCTATTCCTTATATATTCTTTCCACTCCTTTTCTTTCTTCACGGATGATATACTCAAGTCGGAATAATGGCGGCCGTATATTAGAAAACGTAAACTTCATTCGATATTGCTATGAAGCGTTTGAGTCACTTCTGTGCGACATACATTGACGACTGTTTTTTTGGGAAAGTGCTACCTTTTTACTCGTGAAAAACTGTTATTCAGTAAGAAAAACTGTCGTTCAAAACTGTTATGTTATAAGGACTAACAGCATTATACAAAAATAAAATAGGTCACTTTTTTTCAAAATGAAGAGAATGTTCAGGTTTTGCGTCAAAGATTGATTGATAATTCATTGATCGATAATTCAAAATCCAAGAAAATTGTGACCAATTTTCAGAATGATTATTCTTTCACTGAAATATATGGTACACCAGTACTGTCTGCAACCGGTAGGCTATTGTATTATTCCACCGTTTTGAAAGTCAAGTACCTTTATCCATGATTCCAGATTTGTTTTCAGTTCTATAATAGTTAGAAAGCGAAATAGTTTCATTTAATTATTAACAGTTGGTTGAACTTTGATGTTTGTGAACTTGACATACATTTTCCTCTTGTTTTAGTGTTATTTAATGAATTGTTTTTGAAAATATTTGAGCACTTAGACGGTAATATACGAATTTAAGGTACATAGCTCTAATCTCAAGTCTACAAAGATTTTACTGTTTACTGTTACGAAATCAAGCACCAGTGAGACTCTCAAAGGCTGGTTTTTCGCTGCTTTCCTCATTGTCAGAGACAATAATTACAGCCGACTTAAACACACAGCTCGTCTATTTTGTCCGAGTCAAGTAACAAGACTTCTAGTATCTGAAAATGAATGTACTTAGTTTCTGTGGCTATGAGAAATT